CAGCAATTCCTCATTCCATGCATTTCTCTCTCTCTCTCTCTCTCTCTCTTTGTCTTTCTCTTTCTCTCTCTTTCTCCTTTTCGTTTTCCTCTCTCTCTTTTTCTCTTTCTTTTTTTCTTTGTCCTTTTTGTTTCGATTGGTTTTTGGTTTTTGATTTGGCCCTTTTTTCGGTTTCTTTTTTTTTTTTTGTGATTTTTTTCTCTTTCCTTTCTTTCCTGTTTGATTTAGTTATTTGTATTATCATTGATGGAATTAAAAAAATTATCTAGCATGTATAAATTTATCTGACAATAAAAAAACATGTATATAGCGCGGCCTCTGCGCGCGGCCCGGACAACTTTGCTTAGAGGCGTAACCCGGCCAAATTTTCCAGAATTTTGGGTCGCTTCCGGCGACGCGGCTCTTAGGTTTCCGGACGTTACCCCCACAATTTTTTTTGGCGAATTTGGCTTTCCGAAAAAATTCCGGGCCAAATTTCGAGGAAATGGGGGATTTGTCCGCGTTGAAATTTATCGAACATGCTGGGTTTCTCCGTATCCCTGCCTCTGTGTGTCTCCCAGTCTGGTTCTGTGTGTCCGTATCTAACTGTTTCGTAATCTTTGTCTTTGTCAGTCTATGTCTGTTTGTGTTTCTGTCTCTCGGGTTGTCTCGGTTTGTCTCTGTTTATCTCTATGTCGTTAATTTGTTTGCGTCTTTGTATATCTGCTGTCTATTTCCACGTGCCGTTTGTTTTTTGGTCTTTCTCCCTGGCCGCTATCGCCCCTGGTTGTCCAACCGGCAGGTGGCTGGCGGGCTGCTCCTCCGTCTCCTCTGCGGGGGCTACAAATAGCAATTTGCCGGAATTACACCCCTTCAACAAAGAACTATCTATATGGCAAGCAAGATGGGCGACAAAAAGGTGCAAGAAGGAGCCGTCACGGCATCGAATACAGTCCACGACGCCCAATAATACATACTAATATATGACAACAATGGTTGTCATTGCATACGGACAACGGTGGGGATTCCGCTTCTTTCCCGGGCCTGAGAATCACCTTGATGTTAGAAGGGAAAAAATGAGCAGATGTACTTGCGCGCTGTCTTGCACGGGTCATTGCTGCTTGTTGGGGCCGTCTTTGCAGATGTCAAAAGGGAGGAGCAGGGTTTTCAGGGAGAAGTTGCTTGAACGCTTCCTTTCGCAAGCTGTCCCTCATGCAGTGGGCGATAAAGCGGCACCAGAGAAAAAACAAGAGAGAGAAAAAGAGAGAGAGAAAGAAACAGAGAGAAAGAGAGGGAAATAGGCAAGCAGGCAGGCAAGCAAGCAAACAAGAACAATGGTAAAAACAATCAGAAACGAAAATAATAATAGAACAAAAGGAAGAAAGCGGAGCTTAAAAGGGGGAGATACGCTATACGGCAATGCGGAAGTGTGCCATCTTTGTGCATCCACAGAAACAAACACAAACAGACAATAAGATAAAAACAAAGACACATATAAACAGACATTACCAAATAGACAGACACGGACACCCGGAAATAAACAGAAAGACACAAAAAGACACAAAGAAATAGAGACGCACGACAAACACGAACACATAGAGACAAACAAAGACAAACCGAGACAACGAGAGACACAGACAGACAGATAGAGACAGAGAGGCGCAAACACCAAAAAGAAACAGATTCGGATATACAGAAATTCACAAAAATAGACTAAGAAAGACAGAGATTACGAAACAGATAGACATAGACACACGGAAATAGACTGGGAAACACAGAAAGAAAGACGAAGATATAGAGACACCGCAAAATTTTCGAGAAATTTCGACTCGGACAAATTCCTAAATTTCCCGAAAATTGGCCCGGATGTTTTTTGGGAAAGCCATCAAATTCTAAAGAAATTTGCGGGGTAACGTCCGGAAACCTAAGAGTCGTATCGCCGGAAACGACCCAAAATTCGGGTCGGGCTATGCCGCGGAAACTCTAAGCAAAGTTGCTAAAAATCATCCGAAAATTCGGCAAAAATTCGGGGTCCTTCCGAGCCGCACGAAACTGAAAGCACTATAATTCGGCCGGAGTATCGCTATAACGGCTTACCAATACACGAAAAATGCGTCGATGCACAAGAAATACGACCTCAAAACCGTACCATTTCACAAAATAATTTATAAGAAAATATATATTTATAATAAATATATTATTAAAATAACATATATAAAATTTATATATCTATATATAAATATTATATATATATAATTATATATATATATATATTATTTATATATATATTCCATAAATTTATATATATAATATATTATATATATTTATAAATATATATAATTATTCATATATATATTATATTATATTATATTGTAATCTAATATAATATAATAATATAATATATATATATATTATTTAATATCATAAAATATATTATAATATAATATAATAATATATATATATATAATATAATATTATATAATAAAATTTAATTAATTATAATACAATAATATATATATATATCTAATTCTATACTATATATATATAATGTATATGTTTATATATATATATAATATAATAAATTCTATTCTATTATATAATATAATAATATATTATATTAAATAATATAATACTATATCTATATATATATATAACAGATTCTATTATGATTTATATCTTAAAATATATGCCGTTACCATACACGATCTTTTTTTTTTTCCCCGATTTCGCATATTCTTTCCATATTAAGCCTACCGACCCTTTACGCCACATAACTCTCTTCAAAAACTATCAAACCCCCCCTATTTTAATCCTTTTCTAGGCTTCCTCCCTCTCTACCTACACTAAATCCTTGTATAAGCCTACCCTTACCTATTTCATACAACAAGCCTCATAACCTTCCCCTCGAAAAATCGAGATTCTCGGTAGTTTGTTTATTGTTCGTGTTAGGGTCTGGATTCAACAAACACGCAATTATGTTATTTTTCAATTCCCTTCCAAATCGTCCGGCCTCAGGCATCAGCCACCGGGCAACCCAGCCCCAAGTGACGTCTTGCTGAGAGACTGAGAGCAGTGCTCGCACTGCCCGCAGTCAGCTGCGCTAATCGCTAGCTCTGGACGGGAACTTCCATGAAAGTTTCTCAAAACAAGAAACTCCCAGATCTGCCAAGCACTCATGGAGTTGCCTCGAGAATGCACAAGAGACGAAGCTGAAACCATGTTCTGTACAAGTGTGCCTGGCGAAAAACGCTGCCTCTTGGTATTCAGATCCATTGAATCACACCTGGGCCCAGCTTTGGGAACTTAGAACACGGAATAGGGGTCACCGAACACCGACGGCAAAGCGATGCGGGCTGAATTCACTGAGAGTCCTCAATGCTGATGATCAGCTTTTCCTTGCAAGCCCAAAGCAAACATCCGTCTGGTCCCCCCTCCCACCCAAACAATTGGGGACGTATTGGAATCATTGCGGGTCTACATTCCCGTTTGGGGTCTATCTATTGTCCTTATAAAGGGGAATTCTTCGAAGGCAAACGGGGATTAAAAGGGAGTGGGAGAGAATGACGAGTAGGGAGAGAGTGAGCTTTCGCAGAAACACAGTCAGACATGGGTAAAGGTTGGAACAAATGCACATGCCCCGCATACCAAAAAGCAAATTCCGAAGCAGCGGTGTTCTTTACTCTGGCAACTGCAAGAGGCCAGAGATTATAACCTGAAGTTGAGTGCTTTCCTACTAAGTTTTCCAGGTTAGAACAAGGGTACCTACTTTTTTCTGTAGTCTATTTTAGGGGAACTTCCCAACCAAGAAAGGGTGAGAAAGGGCACTACTGAAAGACCTAGTTCCTACGTAGACAAGACCCAAAGCCCAGGCTCCGTCATCTCAGCTCGCGCCGGGAAGGGCCGCAAAGCAGCTTCGCACTTCACCGGCACAAGGTTCACGACCGCGCCTGGAAGCAGACCCCAATGAGCAGCAGCTGCCACATGGAAATGTACCCAATGGAAACATGGATCTGGGCATTAATTTTAATTGGGGACCCTAATGGACATCATTTACGGGCCATGTAGGGTCCAGGATTCCAGAAAGCCAAGCCCAAGAACCCTTGCGAGGGGCCCGTGGTGAGGACCGGGCCCAAACACCCAAAGAACTTTCGGTTCCTCGTTGCAGCCATCTTAAGGGACCCTCAAAAAGAATATGATGTTTTTTCCGGGCTGTCCTCAGATCCCCCCGGCTACAAGTTTAACAAGAACTAGAAATCCGACTGAACACTGGCAAAAGCCAAGATGGCCGTCCGCCGCCACAAGTTTACCTTTTTGCGGGTTCACTGGAAATCCCGACTAAACACTAAAAAACCACAATGGCTAACGACCAAGTTTTGGAACCCCAGCATAGGGAAGGCGTCCACGAATTTCGTAAAACGCACGCCTTGCTCGCCTGAGGCGGGCTCGGGCGCCGGTGTCTTCTCGACCTCCGCAGCCTTGGCCTGGCTCGAGCGAGAAAACTGACTGCTTTGCGGTGGGTTTCGGGTGGGTTTCGGGCGCCAACTTCCCGACATGACTTCCCAACATGTCAATAGAGTTGAATTATTTGCAAAACTTTTGCGTTTGGACAAGCATGTCTGGGATATGTCATTTTAAAAGTTCAATTTCCATTGGGCCAATGATGAGGCCTGACTCTCCCTGCGGAGTTGAGGAAGTACCCCTCAAGGACTTTCCGTCCAAAAACAAAACAAATACATGCGCTCACCAATGTCCAAAGGAACCCTATATACGCTTACAGAAACTACTGCTCAAGCCCAACCTCGCATGTAGCCCTCGAGGGCCCCTGGTTCCAACCTTCATGCTTCGGAGTTTAGACACTAGGGGGTGTAAGGACTGAAAGGGTAACTAATGGCCTGACAGGTGGATGTCCTCTGCATGAGAGGCTCTTCCCACTGCCCTTTTCGAGTTGTGACTGGAGTCAATTCGAAGTCCTTGGCGCTTCATGAAAACGTCCAGTGGTGGCCTCCTTCCCTCCATCCTCCATGTACCGGCCTAACGGGCTTGCGATGATGCAACTGGCACCATATTCTCTGAAGAGAAATCATTGGACTCTTTTCTCCAGCAGCCAGGATAGACACAGGCTCAGCACACCCAACCTTTTGAGAGCCCCAACTTCCAAGCCTCAACCCACCCAAACTCAGCCCACCTGAAGGCTCTTTAGCCCCTTTAGCAACTTGACACCCCTCGTTTAGATGGATGCAGTACCAAGGGAAACCAGCACAAGGCTCCACGGAGGTTCGAGGTACATCACGTAGGAGCCTACTCCCTAAGACTCCCTGCCCCCCCTCCCCCTTCCGCCGCCCCTTCTCACCCCGCCTTCCGTGCCACCCTGCGGCCAAAGGGTCCCAGCCGCTGCTTCTGCTCCTCTCCCATTCCGATGCGTGTTTCCAAGTGCCTAACTAGGTCCTCCAGTGGAGAGGTTAGAATAAGGGTACCCACTTTTTCCGTAGTGTATTTTAGGGGAACCCTCCCAACCAAGAAAGGGTGAGAAAGGGCACTACTGGGGGACCTAGTCAACGTTGACCCCCCCGATGTTCATTTTAGTTGGGTGGTGTGTGTGTGTGTGGGGATTTGGCCCCTCCAAAAGTGATTCCCCTCATTTCACCCAGGGACACCCCCCCCCATCAATAAACTGGGGTTGATTGATAGGGGGTCAACATTGCCAGGGAATGAAATGGATTGAAGGGAGTTTTCTGGAGAGTTACATAAGAGACCATGAGATTCAAGCCTGGGCCAGTTTCTCGGGTTTGGAAGGGGTGTAAATGGTGGGGATGTCAAAGGGTCCTGTTGCAAGGAGAAAAGATCTTCCTTGAACCCAATGCCATCTCCGTGGCAACACCCAACATGTACACCTGACCCAATTCTTGGTTAGTGGTGCGTATCCACAAACGGTTCATGCTATTCATACCCTCACTGTTGGGCAGCTGGTTGAAATTGGCATCAGAGTTTGCACGCCGTCCAAACGTGGGGCCACCACAGCAAAGAACCCGTGGCTTTATCCCGAACAGGCCGGTGAGCAAATGAACCACGACTCGGCCAGGCTCAGCAAAAATGACCAAAGGTACTCAGCCACCAAAGTGCCTCCAGTGACAATACAGGGAAACCCAGATTTTGGAGCTGTCCTTCTCCAGCTGCCGAACGGCTTGGCGTGCTTCCTGCGCGCAGGCTGCAATAGCCCCCAAAACTTGGCTGACGTGAGCAAACATTTAAATTTTAGCAGTTAAGTGGGGATTTCCCACTAAACCACAATAAACACACATGTGCAATGTTTACCAACAACAACCATGAACATGCCAGCCAGACTAGCCCTTACTGTTAGACCGCTAGACTCTTCTTGGGGTCCGAGCCCCGGACCCCACCAACCCGGCCAACCTCCTTCGTTTCCTGCCGGGGTCTACAGGTTCAGCACCCGTCCTTCTCGCGCTGACGCATTTCATCCTGAGCCTTCTTGGCTTCCTCAGCCTGGCGGGGTCTTCACTGGGCGACACGAGCCGTCTAATCTTTTGAAGAATGAAACACCCATTCGGCTGTGGCTCAAAACCATGTACCAAAACGGCACCTTAGTAAATGGAACCAAAGACTAACACCTGCGTAACCGAAAAAATACACTCCAGCACTCAAAGAAGCGCGAAAAAGCGCGCGCATCTGGCTTGCAAGCCATCCCGCCCTTGGGCGGTTTTGTTTTCCTAGGTCCTCCAGTGAGATTAGAATCAGGGTACCAACTTTTTCTGTGGTCTATTTTAGTAGGGGAACCCTACCAAAAAAGGGAGAGAAAGGGCACTACTGGGTGACGTGGGTAGGTTAGGGGGAAACCACCAAACAGTGTTTTCTGAGGACCCGGCCACCTGCAGCAGCTCCTGGATCTTCTGGCGCTTGGCGTCCTGCAGGCAACTGACAGATCTGGGTGTGGGTCAAAATGAAACCACTAGGTGACCGCGGGTTTATATGGTCGTTCATCCCCTACAAGTGTTTCAACATGGTCTGCCCAAGTAAAAAGTCCAGGATGCCCCGGTTGAAGTGGTGGTCTGCCCGAGTGAAAAGTCCATGGTCGTTCCAGGCAGACGTCGCGCTCGTCCTGCTCGCTCTCCGCGCTGGCCTCGGCCTCCTGCAGCTTCCGGCGCCGCTCCACCTCGAAGCCCAGCAGCACCAGCAGGTCCTCCTGGTGCTGGACCTCCTCGGGACCCAAACGGACCCACCCTTTAAACGCGAGCACCAAAAGGGGCCATGACGAAAAAAACGCGGGGAAGACCAAAAAAAACCAAGGGAAAATACAAGAGCCGACACAAGACATGGTTGCCAAAACAAAACGTCGATTCGTCTCACTGGCTTTGAAGTCCGAGCAAAATCAAAACGTCACAAAGATCGATTCGATTCGCTTTGGGCAGCTGAGTCCTTCTTGCGCTCTGCCACTTTTTTGGCCGCCTCGCGCTTCCGCTTCTGAAGGTCCTTGACGCGGGTCAGCGCTTGTGCCTCGATCTCCTCGGCCGCCTTCACCACCTGGCTGTGGGTCAAAACGAATGGGATCCCATTTTGGGGTAATTAGGTGCACCACCCATTTTAGAACGCAATTTAGTGGGGATTGGGATGTTCACTGGGGGCAATCGGGATTTTGACCCATGGCCGCCTGGCTCTCGCGCTCCACCTCAACCATGGCCTCCTCCACCAGCAGCTGCTTCGCAGCCTCCGCGGCCCGGGCGGCCGCGATAAGGCCGTCGTGCTCCGCCAGTTCGGCCTCCAGCCGCGCCATCATGTCCAAAGGGCTCGCGGACTTCAGCTCCGCCAAGACCCGCGCGCGGAGGCCGGCCTTGCGCCTGGGCTTCTCCGAGTCCTTGACCTCATCCTTCTCCTTGACGTCCTCCGCATCCTTCTCGTCCTCGTCCGCGGCATTGGCGTCCACAGCATCCGCCGCTTTGGAGGTGTCAGGGGCTTCTGGCTTCTCCGCGTCTTCGGGCTCATCCGCCGTTTTGGCGGTCTCGGGCGTGTCCGGCTTCTCCGCGCCTTGCGCCTCCGCGGCTCCGGCCCCGTCGGGCACCGAAACCTTGGCTTCAACCTCCTCGAGGGCAGTGACGGGCATGGGCGACAGCGGCATGGCGAAGGACCTGGCCAATTTATGTGTTGATTCGAGTCGTCTCTGGAGCATTTGGATGCGTTTGGGATGCATGTTGCGGGCCATCTTACGGCAATGTGGGAAAAGCCAGACGGCAGAACACGCATCTATGTTTGCTCAGAAACGAAAGCATGTTCTCTGAAATGGATTGCCACGAATCGAGCTTTGTGTCATTCACACAAACGCCGGGACACTAGTGTGAGGCTCCCTTCCCTGCAGGCCAAGTGGCGAGCGGAGCGAAGGGCGCGAGTTGTCGTCGACTCGAGGCTGGAATGCTGCGGTGGCAGAGGTGCCACGCTGCAGCTGTGACAGAGGGGTGCAGCTTGCTGCACACTCAGCGAATCTGCAACGCAGCATGCCACAAACAATCGCATTTTTTGTCACGAAGGCTGAAAGCAGCGCGATTCGTTATCGTCTGCCCGAAGGCAGCAGCGCCGGCCAAGTCTAGGCAACTCAGCCCCGAAATGGCCGTTGCGACATCTGCCCGCTGCTGCGAGCGGGACGGCATACTGTGGCTGAGGTTTTCAAGCATCTCGCACCGAATATGGTACAGAACCGTCTCACAACGATGAAGCTCTGCGCGGTACACGCTGCACGTCACGGATCACGCTGTCTTTCCTTATGCTCGATCCTTTTGAAACCTCAGACGTTCTTCGGCTTAAAACTTCGGGCTGCAACGGCAGCATCACGCAGAAGAGAGCATCACCACAAGAATCGAACTCACTCAGAGTCCTCAGTGCTGATGACAAGGTGCTTGCTTGCGCGTCAACAACAGTGAGGGATGGAGGGGAGGGGGAGGAGAAAAGGAGGCAATCACAACCCCCCCCCCAAAAAAAAAAACAACGACTGAGGGACGTCGGAAGAGAAAGAGACAAAGAGAGGAAAAGCGACGCATGCCCAGGCTCTGTTGGGCGTGCCGATGGCTGAGCCCCTTCGCAGTCCGGCGAGACGTTCAGGGGCGCGCCTTGCAACCAGCAGGCTTCTCGAAATCCTCATGTCTAGAGCCTCAACAGCTGCAACAACCAAATTTCGCTCCCTAGACTCACACCCCAAGAGCGCAATCCTGAGTCTACTCAAAAAAGAACTTTCAAAACGACGACCAGCAACCAAACCCCAGTCATTGCAAACCCTTTTCCGTTCGCAGGAGCGAGGCAATGATGAGTCGTTGAGCTGTCTGCCTGTTGGATTCTGCGTCAATGGTCGATTGCAATCTCCAAGGGATTGGTCATTTCTTTCTGTGCGTGTCTGCCTGCGTGCGTGCGAGGGCCAGGCGGTGTTTTTCGAGAATCTGCTCCGGCGTTCCATCCTCTGCTGCCTGGAGAGGACTGCGCAAAAGCCGTTGAATCCAGCGACTTCTGATTCTACTGAGACAACACTACAGAGAGGATAGAAAAAGGGTACCAACTTTTTCCTGCAGTCTATTTTAGTTAGGGGAACCCTCTCAACCGAAAATAGGGTTTTCAGGGCACTACTAGGACCTAGGTGACAAAAAAAGGTACGAGCATCGTTGTGGGAACACCCCAGTTGCCCACAGGGCCCTCGGCAAGGCGCTGAGCACGCCCACCAGTGAAGACCAGAATGGCACCACCTCCTCCCTCGCTTTGGCCGTCCTTGCCAACAGCACTGGCAGCGCTGAACACGCCAACAGGAGCACTTGTTTGCGGGAAGGTAGGGCAAGTGCCCTAGACAACGCCAAAAAAAGGGAACGCGCACCCCCTAATAAACTGAAGAAGTACAAGGGTTTGATGCGACAACGAAGAAACGCAGTCGAACCAAAATGGAAGCAACCTCATCTAAAATGGCAAAGGTCTACAGCCAAACAGGGGGTTCTGAGAAACAAACACTCACCATGCAATTTTCAGGCTGACGGGATGGTCCGTTTCCTGCGTTTTTAATAAGTTCTTTTGGCTTGCTTACCCAGCCTCAAAGACAATAAACACAGCAAAAGCTTGACAGCTTCGTTTCGGACAAGTCAGGCAAGGGGTATGAATTGCAGGGAAGGAGTACGACTTTTGACCTTCATGGGATATTTGGGATTCTGGTGCCCGCAATGTTGTTGTTTGTGCAGTTTGCCAAGAAGAAGCCTCATCCGACGCTTGACAAAATGATGGACCTCTATAAAGACCCCCTCCAAAGGAGCTCCTAACTTTGTCCGCAGGTTCAGTTCACCAAAACCCCTGTGTTGGGTGCTGAAACTCTATTTGGGTGATTTGTGTACTGAAGACTCTGGGGTGAGCACCATTTACTGGGCTTCGTACTCCCCATGAAAAGGGCAAAGCCAGTTCTTCGGTGCTTGAGCTTTACACATGCACCGGGAGCCCCCCAGAGCTGGTTCCAAGTGACATCCCCAAGTTTGCCCTCTAACGGGTAGGTACCCGTTTTTGTTTGGTTCTGTAGTCTATTTTAAGTAGGGGAACCCTCCCGAAAAAAGGGGTAACAGGGCAATACTTGGGGACCTAGGGTGGGATAGGGGGAAACCACCAAAAAGTCATTTTCAGAACCCCTCAACATGTTCACTTTGAGGGCCCCCGTAGAGAAGACTTCCAGATCCCTTGCCACAAGGCACACCCAAACATTGTTAGATCCTTCCAAACAAAGCAAATCCCTCTGGCTGACGAACAGGATCGGGCCAAGCCCTGCTTAAAGTTGGAAGCCTAATTTCTTAAACAAACTTATCAGAATAACAATGATAATAATAAGAATAATAAACAACCTCTTTGTGTTTTTCAAAATCTGCTCGCCAACATCTGCTCGCCAAGCGGCTCCAAAGCCATCTCTCTGGAGATTTGCTCCAAGTCAACCTGGCGGCTTTCCGATTTCCTTTGTCAGCCCAAAGGACCCAGGACCAGGTGAACCTTTTCGAGCCTACTAAAATTGACCATGGGAAAGGAGGAACAAATGAACTGGACTGAAAGAAATGGTTCATCCCAAGCCGACGGTATGAGACTGGCATCAAGCTTTTTCTGAGCAAAGCGAGGCCGCGTTGACCCACGAGGTCGCTATGCCTTCGGAAACAAAGTGGCTCGTGTCCACAAACCATTTCGACCCGGCAATAATACAAAACAGGGGCTTTCATCAAAGCATCTGCCATTCGCGGATGCGAATCAACTTTGGCTGGCCTATTGTCTTGCTACATGCCATCCGAAAGGTCCGATGTTGTTGGGTGTTTGCCATTTTCAGAGAAGGATCTTTGATCAGAAGGGGGGGACGGTTAGAGGGCGGCACTGGAACGGGCGACGCGGAAAGGGGTCCAAAAAGAGTATGTTTGACCTCGAAATGTTCGGGTAGGTTTGCCAGTTGCCTCTAATAACCATTTATACCCTCCCTAATAGACTCGATCTCTTGCCCAAAGGACGTGGAAATTACCCCGGCACGAGACCCCAAACAGTGATAGGCGGCGGTCACACGCTGCAGAGTATTGTGCGGGCAGCGCCGCAAAACGGCGGTTGTTGTCAGGAAGCTGCAACATCATTTTGCGGTATTTGCGCGCACACTCACAAAGACGAGGACACGACGTCAAACTCATTTGGCGCCATGTTGCAGCACGGCGAGAAGCTTGTCCTTTGCCAGCGCCCGAAGCTCTTCCTGCTGCAAACTTCTCCCACCTTGTTTCCGGCTAATCCCTGCGTTCTTGCACGCCGTCCATAAGCCCTGTCGATCCGAAGATAAACCTTCCAACAAAGCACCCGCCTGTGCAGCCGCAAGGTCTCCCAAGACACATGACCCGAGATGCTCGAATTCCGCGCGCACATCGGCAGGCGCGGCTTCCAGCAGCGTCGCCAAGATTATTGCGCCCATGGCTGCGCAAGCATCACTACAAAAGGCAAGATCTGTGTGTTTGTTTCAACAGGGTGCCTGAGTTAGTGAGTTAGCTAGCTAGGTAGCTTCTTCCTTGGTTCTCGTTGTTTTGTCTCTGTATTTCTTTCTTTCTATGAGTGTGGCGCTGTTGCTGTTGCTGTTGCTGTTTGGTTGTTGTTACCATCGAGAAGCCGTCGCAGCACAGAAGCACCATCCAAGCATGCCCAAAGAAAGGGAAACAAGCTCGCGCGGACAGCGCGGGAATCGAGCCCGGCACCTTTCGCCGGAAACAAAACCCCCACCAAAAAAGCAAAATAATCGAGCTTGTGCGAGCCTGCGCAATCGAAACGCACTTCAACATCAAGCAAAAGCAAGAATCTGCGGCAAATACCACGCGAAACGCTCGCGGACAGAAGTCGACACCTCACTTTCTGCGAGCCTGCGCAGTCGAAACACATTTGAACATCAAGGAAAAGCACGAATCTGCGGTACATACCACGCAAAACGCTCGCAGACAGAAGTCGACACCTCACTTTGTGCGAGCCTGCGCAGTCGAAACGCACTTCGACATCAAGTAAGAGCACGAATCTGCGGTACATACCACGCAAAACGCTCGCGGACAGAAGTCGACACCTCACTTTGTGCGAGCCTGCGCAGTCGAAACGCACTTCGACATCAAGCAAGAGCACGAATCTGCGGTACATACCACGCAAAACACTCGCGGACAGAAGTCGACACCTCACTTGTGCGAGCCTGCGCAGTCGAAACGCACTTCGACATCAAGCAAGAGCACGAATCTGCGGTACATACCACGCAAAACACTCGCGGACAGAAGTCGACACCTCACTTTGTGCGAGCCTGCGCAGTCGAAACGCACTTCGACATCAAGCAAGAGCACGAATCTGCGGTACATACCACGCAAAACGCTCGCGGACAGAAGTCGACACCTCACTTTGTGCGAGCCTGCGCAGTCGAAACGCACTTCGACAAATGGCAAGACCACGAACCCAAAAGGTCACTTCGGTCGATTTTCGCTCGCGTCACAAATGGGCACCTCAACTTCCCAACCGTTCACTTCAGGTCATTTTTTTCGCTTTGAAGCACATGAGAGGCGTCACACCTCCTCCAAGCCCAGCAGAAGGTCTGGGATGGAGGTGAAGCGTTGCACCCCCGGCAGGTCCAACCCGCTGAAGCTTTTGGCCCAGTAGACCATCGTCAAGAAGTCCCGGCTCAGGAAATCCTCGGAGTGCACCGGCACAGGGCCCTCCGAAACGGGGGGGGGGGAAACACAAGACAAAAAAGAGGCAGCTGACATCCCAAATTGGGACACATACTACAAACATAGATCATAGGCTCGTTTACCCCCAAATGCGCTCGCAAAAAAACAAACAAACAGCAGTCAAAAATCCCTGTTTTGGAGGAATCTCCTTTTTGGGACACCCCCCCGCTTCTTGGGGTTCCATATGGGTGTTTCTCAAGAGTCGGGGACCTCAATGGGTGGCTTTCACTTGGTTTTCTTTTAAAACCGTCAAGCTCAGGAAATCCTTGCACTTCGAAGCCGAGCGGACTGCCTTGGAGCTCACGATTTCCAAAGAGTTGCCCTCTGGATATTCTAGAAATCCTTCCAAGAAACATGGTTGAAACCCTGCCCTTTCGATATTCAAGGCCCATTCAAGCTAGACCCTGACTCAAAGTGAGGGCACTCATTGACAATCGTGCTCAGGCCAGAACTGGTCCGCTAGAAGCATCCGAAGACCGAATTGAATTTGGGGGTGCCGGGCTAGATGTTGCGGAGTGGAAAGTTGAGAGGACACCCACTACTTAGGTTCGCAATGCTGAAATACACCTTTACATCACCCACGCCCCAATCCACAACTCGATGCGGATCGTTTCACGCCTGGCATGCTGCAAATGTTCCCTGCTCGCGCACGGGCGACAAAGAACTTCTGTTTGGCATCTTCTCTTGTTGGAGTCAAAGGCAACGCCATGCATTGGACTGTCGTAATTTTGCAAATACGACGTTGTCGCGGAAAGTGGCCCTGGGATTATAAATGTGGGCAAATCAAATCTGAAACAAGGAATCCCTCAGTAAGACACCTTCTGCCCATTTTTATGCAGGGTAGTTAGCCACAGTCTCGATGCGAACCAGGGCGCGAGGGAAGGATATGGCGTCGGATGCCTGAAAGGGTCAATGTTTCGCACCGCGTGCAGCATGAACATTAGCTCGACATGCTTGCAGCTTTCAACATCAGAGTCGCAGAAGCCAGCAACTTGACTGCACTCGAGGTTGATTCCACATAACTGTGCCAGATCTTGCGCGAAAAGGGATCAACACCAGTCGAAAGCAACGATCACTTTGATGAACAAGTTCCAACGTTAGCCAATCGATTGGGCCAATATCATTAGGACAGTTCTACGGAGAAGCGAAGAGACTGGAGATCCCGAGTCTGGCCAGCCAGGCCCGGATCCAGCTACCACTTTGGTAAGGACTTCACTAGGTTCAGCCAAATCGCTACGTTCCCCAGGCCCCCAGGACGGTTTGCTAGGCCCTAGGGACCCGTGACTGCAGCGGCTCAAAATACAGTCGTGTCGCCAAGGCTCCGGTCATTTGGCCTCATCTGCCGGTGCAAGTTGGGATGGCTCCTGCCGAAGTCAAGTTGCAAACACAGGAGTCAGAATCAAAAGGTATTTAAAATGGGGTACCCAAAACTCATGGCACAGTATGTATAACGGTAGATATCCGCCTATTTTATGACAAAGGATTAGCATCCATTTGTTTATGTCCCTCTATGTTGCCTCTGCTTGAATATGACACCTCCTTGAACAGTGCCAACAGGCATTTGCAGCCTCTTTTGTGAACATGGGCGGTCTCTGGGTTGTACTTGGACTTGCCAAAAACTAATCCAGCATTGCCAGATCTAAACATGATCTCAGTGCTTGATTTAGTATGGCCAATTTCAAACTCAGTATTCTGAGATTTCTAGCAATTCTAAATTTAGTATGGCAAATAACTGAATGTGGGATTCCCAGTACTTCTTCTTAGTATTGCCGAGACTTAATCTCAGTTTCCCAGATCTTAGATAAGCTACCCTTTCAAAGTAAAGGCTAAGGCTTTTATTTGAAATTACACACCCGCCCAACAAACAAGAGTCAGATTCAAGAGGATCAGGGGCTCTTGTGGGGTATCCCCTTGGTGTGACTGTTTGGCCTTGGTCTCCGAAAAAGAGGGAGGAGGGGTTTATGATAAATGTCGATGGTTTGGAGACCACTTCAAAAACAGGAATTCCTGCGAGAAGGGCTTAGATAAACTAACTACGCCTTGGAAGCAAAAGGCTCAGCCTTTGATTATGTATCGTTGCTTGTCTTTTTGCCCTGATCCTCTTTTCAGAAACAACACAAAAATACGAACCCCGAAACAGTCACAGGGTTCTGAACCAGGAAGCAAGCTTTGTATACACCTTAAATCAAAAAGTGGGTCTGACATTGCTAACCTCTATCCACCCGGTACTCAGGCTTCATTGCTCACATTGTGTCGCATTTTGGAGTTGGGTTAAGGGAAACCAAGGGAGCCACACTTGGCGTAGCTTCATGCAGTCCGAGTGGACCCGCGGCAATCATGAAGCTCGGTTCCCCCTATGACTTCCGCTTTTCTTCTCTTCATTTTTGAACCCTTGTTGAGTTGCCTTGTGATAAGAAACAGTGCCGCCAAGCATGTCGCTGGAAATCCCAAGGACCTCCTTGCATTCGAAGGTATGTGCACACCTCCAAGGGACCTGCGAGGACCTTCGTCAACCGATATCCATCCATCCAGTAATTTCATTCATTCATTCATTCATTCATTCATTCACTCATTCACTCATTCACTCATTCACTCATTCACTCATTCACTCATTCACTCATTCACTCACTCATTCACTCATTCACTCATTCACTCATTCACACATTCACTCACTCACTCAGTCATTGCTCCATTGCATTCCTTTTCGCCAGCCAGCCAGCCAGCCAGCAATCCATCCATCTATCCATCGGAAGAATGGCTGCCCCCACTGGTGGAAATAAAAGCAAGCCCCAAGTAAAGGACCTTCATCATGAGCGACTCGTTTTTTACCCCCAGCTAAGCTCGTCACAATTCGCCCAAAGAGCTTGCCCGGCCTTGTTGACACTCAATCATGTCAGCGAAGCATGGCTGTGTAAAAAGAAAGGCTCAATAATTTGGAACAGATCTCGTAGATTTCGGGAAACACAAATCCATTGTATCACTAGCTTCACAACCCATCCGACGCATTTCACCTGGGCTTCCGCTCCTGCCGTAGCTCGTCATTTGCTTGGGCCAAAGTCGTGCGAGCCAAAGAGTGTCTGGAATGAACATCGGCATATGCATGGCCTCAGTGCGAGTCACGAGTCGACGGCTGGAGAAGCAACAATTGCCTCGCGAATGCGAGGCAACCCAGCGGAAAAGGACAAGGCTTAAGGATATATGTCATTTGCTTGAGGGTACCCTTTTCAGATTGGTTTGCAGGGAAACCAAAAGGGAAGCCACCCTTTTTGCATTCCCCCGAATTTTCATCACATTCATTTCAGCGACATATATTTTGATGACTCCTGTGGACATCACTCAGGTGATTGGTGCCCATTGTGGCGTTGTAAAATCATAATTTCCCCTTGATCCAACCTGGGTGTCAAAATGGGAGCTACCCAAAACATGTGGTTGTCCTCTTGATTTCCCCCTAAACCGGCCTCAAAACGGCTACCCTCAATCACATGAGTCAAAACCGCTTTCCCGTACATATTGCCACAGTAAGGGTCCTGGCAACTCTGCACGACCGCTTAAGATAAGCAAGTAATCACGCATAGCTCAGGGTTAATGTCCACCGACTATAAGTTGAGCTTCTCAATTGGATTCTATCGCCATATCCTCATGGAAGATTCATTCGCTGCTCACGAATCCGTCTCTGCAAGATGATGCCAGTCCTCTTCAATACTAACAAAAACACACTTGCGCAGCACCTGAAGCCAATCGCATGCTCGATTGCTTTCACATGACCAAACGGTTCATTTAGGACCTCAACGAGATGCGTACGACGCTAGGTAGTAGAACTCCCTGGAAATCTGGCTACTTCGTGGGACAACATTCGGTAACGAGTCCAATGAGCTTGGAAAGTGGTGACGAGTGGATTCATGTCTCTTCGGAAGTAGACCCCGTGCCCCGGTTTCCACTTCTGGCCGCCTTTTGACCCTTTGGTATATACATGAATGCCCAATGCAGCAAGAAACTATTCCGCCATTGAGAGCAAAATGGTATCAAAGCCCGGCGCAAATCCTAAGGGGCTACAAATGGCCCATGTGAAAGGCGGCACTGAGCACTGCCAAATATTTGGATCGGTCTTTGGGCCTGCAACGAATCGATTGGTTAGTGGGTTGAATCGTTCGTTGTCCGAAGGGTCGAAAGGTTGAAGGTCAAGTCAAACAGCAACCAAGAAGTCATTTGAGTGCTTCAAGACAAAGAACATTGCCCCCTTGTTGAAGGGTTTTGAAGCAAGGACAGCAGGAATATCTCCTAATCTGCAAAAACCTGACAAGGAAGTATCAAACACGTTTCCCCCAAACCTCAGGCATGCTCAGGTGAGCCAATGCTAAAACTGCATATGTGGGGTCATGGTCCCCGGTTTCCGCAGAAGGACTCCTTACAATGGGTTGACACATGAGCAGCGCCTATCTCACCCATTGACTTCTGGCCTTCACAAGCTTCTAAAAGGTTAATATGGGTATGCATTTTTTGAGGATAATATGTTTGGTTGTTTTTTAAAGGGACACGAACAAGTCAACCAACACCCCATTTTCGGGGGGTCGTTAGAATCATTTCTGTAGGCCTTGACACCATAAACCGAAGAACACGCTGGTTCCATGCCGAGGTCCAGGCGTAGAGCTCGTGGAAGGTGGTGACCGCAATGTTCCAAGGCACCAGCACGGTGGCTTCAAACTGCGCCACCTGACGCGAAGCTCGGTGGCTGTGGTTCAACTCTGGCGGGAAGCAAATGGAAGGCAAGGTTAAAATTGGGGTGGGTCAAAAACCGGGGTCGAAACCAGACACCCCTTTTTGGGTAACCCCCCATTTTGAGTGGTCCATTTTCAAATGGGACCAGGGAATGGGGGGGGCCGAACGCTAGGGTTCTTGACCAGCCAAGCTTGGTAAAGCCTCGGTGGAAAACAAAAGAGATCCTGTTGCTAAGGCCCGCTGTTTTTAGCAAACTACCAGGCACTGCGCCCCCTTAGTGCGATTCATCGATCCGTCAGGCCAGTTCTGGTTTATAAGTTGCCTAAGCCATGGGAAGGATGGAAAGTGCTGCCAACTCCTGCAAATATCCCAGTAGCCACTTGCATCAGTTTGGCAGTAGATGGCACACTTATAACTTTATCATGTGGGAAGTAAAGGGGATGATCACATGGGGGAATCGTGTCATGCACTCTCCCCACTATACGTGTCGCTATTTGGTCGCTGCTCGGCTTGCTTGTACGACTAAGCCGTGCAAAATCAGGCGCCTGCTTTATTTTTGGAGGCGTTCAGGTGTCGGTGTTTCCGTTTGGTCATAACATTGAGCCGTTGAGCAGGCACGCAAGAAACATAAGCCAGGGTTGAATAGTGGTCAACGCAAAGGGCGAATCACATACACACATTGTCATTATCATTCTCAGTATTCTATAACTACGACATGTTCATTCTGTTCAACCTACCCCATCACCCTTTCAAGTTATTTCACTACAGCAACCCCAAGGCAATCTTGTCGTCTTTTGAGCTTTCAGGGAAACCCACCCGCAAAAAAAAACAAACACCCCTACCATCGTTTTGCATGAATACAAGAAACCAACGCTTTTCTTGGTAGTTGTTGAGTTTCAAGGGCCCCCTCTCGCCAAGAAAACGCACCTTGGCCCAAAGAGATTTGGTCCACAATAGGGTATGTTCTACTTCTCATGGTGCCGGTCCTCAGATCCCCCGCTAAAAGCTTAACTTTCAGAGGGTTAAACGGAAATCCCCACTAAACACTAAAAGCTGGGAACCACCAAAGATTTGTCATGTTCCTCCCTTTATCTATTTTTTCCTGGGCGCTCGGAGCCGCGTTTTTGCGTTTTCGGGGGCCCCTCAAAAGGGGCCTCCTGGAAGCTGTAGCCGTGCACCACATCTTGGTCCCCCGGTGGCAGCCGCAGCTTCCGTCCTGGCCACTTGAAATCGCGTGGAATCCTCTCACTTCGTAAATGGGGCCCGGAAAAAGGGAGGGGAGGAGTTCGGGGCCGTGGGGGAGGGGCAGGGGGGGGGAAGGAGCCCAAACAAGCCCCCAATAAGCGCTGAATAAGGCCTCAAATCTGGGCTCCCTCCGCATAGATGAGTGATTGGCCAAAGAAAGTCCAAACGATCAAATTAAAAGACCAGTGAAACCCCGAAGACCTATGGTCGGGACAAGTAAACATGAATCATTCTCTTGAACTCTCTTTTTCAGAAAATGCATGATGGGACCTATGACGCAGCCGCACGTCGCTCATCTTCCGAGAGTGCCCGCATAAACATTAGACACAATTTCAAGGTAGCCCCCAAACAACGGCCAGGTGAGTCTTCGCCAGTCAAGGTTGGTGTGGCGCTCCTCTTGGGAGCAGCCTCGCGCCAGCGCGGAAAAGGCCCCGGCAGTTGTGGGACATCATCAGGCGTGTCCTCTCGTATGGAGGTCTTTGGCGCCAAAACGCGACATGATCAACAGGGTTCTCTTATGCGTTATTTAGATCTGTAAAAAAGAAAGAGCAGACTCAACCCTGAAGGGTCAACTTTGGCTTCCTTGGAGTCTTTGGCCGCAAAAGTCACCGAACAAAAGCCTGTGGGCCAAGCAACCTTTTTGCAACACACCGTTTGCTGCTTGGAGAGGACAGGGCATCTTCGTTTTGCATGAAAGGGCTGGACTATCCATTGCGAAAAGAACAGCCCCAAGACCGGGTAGATTGCCAACTTGTTGCAAGGAAAAATGAGACGTGCAGTGCAAAAGCATCAGATGCCGAAAGAAAGGGGATTCATTTGTTGATTGGTTGACTTGAAACGGGAACCCTTCCCCAAAAAAAGTTGAAAAACAGGGCACCACTGGGCAACGCTCATGAGGCAAAACCTCGGCCAGTCCTGGCACAAAGCACCAGCACCGTTGAGCTGTTGGCTTGGTAGGTGGCGGAGACGTATGGCGCCAGCGGGCGCACGTGAGGCACTGGCCGGCCCGTGTGATACTCGATGCTGGCGGCCAGGAAGGGGGATTGCGCCACCTCAGACCCAACATGGGGTGGTCCAAAACTTCGCCTCTGGCCTGACTTCCCGAGTTGATGGGCCAAAAAAGCAACCAAGCTTTTTGTTTTCCACTAACATGGTCCAAACCCCAAAAAAATAAAGTGCAGGAACTCGCGAAGTGAGTTGCTGTGTTATGGGTGTCCTTATGTCCTTAACCATTTGAATGTGGGATCACTTTCCCAAGCTAGCTAGTCGTAGCTTATAATACTTTTTTTTTGGACAGGAACCACAGGTGGGTATCCCCCTGCACAACAAGTTCGATGTCTTACTTGTTAGTGATAAAAACCAGCAACAACATCGCCCAATGAACTGCTGGTTACTGGGGCTTTAGTAATGAAAATAGGATCGTGGCGCAATACTGTGAATGCACGAAATCCATTTCGCACCACCTAAGAAACTCCGGGATAAGGATTGCCCTGCAAATACGTGGTTTCAAAGTGGTGCAGGATTTCGTCCATCCACAGTATGACTTGAAATTAAGTCAAGTAATGATGATGACAGTTGGTATTCTTGACCCACCACTGGGGGTTCCCGGAATCACATTTTTTGCCTGCGGAAAAAACGACTCTCTGATGGGTAATTCTTGAGCCCCTTTTTTGCTGCACGGCCCTTACTCAAATAAAATGTTCAGGAAAACATCTTGCCCGTTGAATCCCTTCTCTGAGCCTTCTTGCAAACACCAACTTCCAACTTTGCGTTGACCCAGAAACGGAGAAGGGTTCTTCAGCTGAGGGGGGCTGACCACTTGTCCATGCTGAATGACATGTCGCCCACAACTGAGAAAGCAGTCTCTCCCTGACTTTTTTTTATTCTCTCTCTCTCTCTCTCTCTCTTGTGGAGGGGGCGTGAAGCAGGTTGGGGTTGACGAGGGACTATGTCTAATAATCTATGAATGGTCCTTTGTCTGGCTGAAACACTTTGCAGCCGCTCTGTTGTACCAAGACATGCAACACCCGTCTTACACCAGGCCTTGTCTGCGATTGAAACAACGGCCGGTGCCCCCACACTCTTTAGGCTGAAAGAGTCGAATGGCTGATGACACCCTTGGGCTGAGGTGAGGTGGGTTCACAGGTGGTGCCGTGAAGTGTCCTATCGATATGCAGCGTACTATCCTGCGATAGCTTAGAACAATGCAACAGCTTGCACGAACGATGCGTGCCTATGAGAAGTGACCCGGGCGTAGCAATAAGCGTGTTCCAGGCTTGGATTTCCAGACTTCAACTCCCCGCCATTTTTTTTTATTTTTTTTTTATTCTTGGTGTCAGCCTAAAGCGGAGCCCTGAAAACCCCTTTGCTGATAGCCTGTTTTGGGTTGGTTTCAATCTTTCAAAACCAACAAGGACCCCCCCCCCCCTTTTTGGGGACCACCCCCCAGCCCAAGGTTATAGGTCCCCTTAGAGGGCCCCTGAGACCCCCGGCCACGGCCGTGGGCACAGCGCTGGCTTTGCCGCTGAGCACATCTTGCTGGCAAAACTCCTCGCCAAGAAGTCGACCTAAAGCTACTTCACTTCCATTTGCTTTTTCGCCCCCCTGAAAAAACATTTCCAGTAGTGATAGATGGTCTTTAACACCAACCAGGCAAAACATATTCATTTCAGCAAATGGAAGTTAACGCCAGAAAGTGGGTGCACTCTTGGGGTTGTTCCACCACTGATGACTTGGAGCTGCTGACGGGCCATAAAAGCCACGACTTTCCAATGGCTGCCCTTATGGCACCCCAAGGTCCAGAGATCAAGTGTACCCCCCATTCCGTAATGGTAATTTGGTGGGCGTGACGCCATGCCATCACCATGTCATCCAACGTGGAACCTGACGTTTCGGGGTCCTGAAAGACGATTTCCATTGACAGGAGATTTTGGTGGCTTCCATGTTGGTGGACAAAGGGTAAATATTGAACTCATTCGCAGCCCCTGCGGAAGGTGTCCTAAAAGGACACATCCCAAATGATTTGCGGTCCTCTGAGTCAGCAGCTGGCAATGGTGACTTTTTGCCGGACGAAACACATCGGAGAGTGTGAGCCAGGCATGCAGTGGACAACCAATGCACGGCGGGGGGACAAGTGAGCAGCGCTCAAGAGCTACTGACTGATGATCCCGCCAGATTCTAAGGGCCAACTTACATATCCCAAGTGGATACACACACACACACCTATTCAAAGGCCTCAGGGATCCATTTCAAGCTGCTCATTTGGGGCCAGGTATGTACCACATGGTGTTTGATCAAGATGATGAAGGCTTGCATAGGCCTCGTTCGTACCCCCAGGGAGCAGGAGCCGCAAAGGGTGTTGCGCTCAAGACTGACAAAGACACCGGAACCACCGGCATGAGGCTCGTGCACATGGGCTGTTGAAAGGCTCAGCTTGGATATGCTGATGGCTGCGAACTCCGAGACCGCGCCACGAAACAAAACCGATGGTTGAAACCATGGTCTGTTGGTATTTACAATGGAAACATCATAGGGTGCCTTAGGTGGTGCGAAATGGATTTCGTCCCTCCACAGGACGATGCTCAGGCTACAATTCCCTGCAGACGATTAGAGGAATGTCTGAAGATGGATATCGCCACCATCGAGCTGTACTGCTCCAATCCGTTCAAGGTCGAACGTTGGCACCAGAAGAAACACCTGAAGGCCTGTTGACTACCACGTTTCTTGTGACCTGGGCATTGGCTCGGCCCCGAGAATAGCTTACAGCAACGCTTCAGGCTTCAGCAGCTCACAACGTTTCAGTGGGACCTGTTCTCTGCAAATTATCATATTTATCATTTGAGGGGCCTTCAGCGAAAGCATTGCATTCGTTCTTGTGAGACACCACAGAACGGACAACCAACACCCATCACAAACTGATTGTTTGGATGTCGAGCCAAAGAATCCATGACAGCTTCGCATTCGCTAGCTCAAAGGACTTGGTTCAGCATGCATTTCGACATGACATGGGCCATGAGTGCCTCCAAATTTACAGGCCCTCCCTTCCCTTTGAAAAATGCGAGTTTACAAGTTTACCCTCCCTCCAACAAGCATAGAAGCTGACATGGGGTTTGGACGATTATGATACTTTAGAGAACCCCTTTATCCACTTCCATGATTCTTGAAATGGCAGTTGACCCCGCGACCCTTCCCACACGAACGGATGCATCTCTCCTCGAACTGCCGAATCAAGACATCGGCGCTGTAGTCATCCATGGCCTCTGGGACAAGAAAAATCACAGCCCAAGACCAATAGTATATTTTGGGGTTGATTCATGGGTACCTTGACCCTCGTTTTCAACCAAGGAATACCCGGGAAAAGTGTTCCAATGATTTTGCGGAAAGGATCCTGGAAAGAATGGGGAAGTTCGCCTTAGAGCCTATTGCTACGAAGCTCTGAGCCTCGAAAGGTTCACGAATCATGTCCTGGGAGTGCTGGTCCGAAGCGCGGTTTTGCCGAACCTCAAATTTCACACCGGGAGCCCCGAATAACTCGCTACGAGTGGCTCCATTTCCATGTTGACCTGCAGAAAAGTGGTTGGACTCCAGTGACTATAGACCTCTTCCGCTTGCTCTTGGTCCGTGGCTCCTGCGCTTGAACCCCGTGCTTTCCCTTGGCTTTCTGCGGTAGCAAGCAGGGAGTGCGCAGTGCTGTGTTCTTGTAGATGATGGGGCTCTTGTCCAAGGGTGTGCTTCACTCTGAAGCAAGTGTTCACGATCAAAGTGGCGACCCAATGGCGCCAGCAGCTGCTATTGTTTTCACCGCGTGTTGCCGGTGGCTCAAGGCCTTTAGCCAAAAGGGTAACCGGATGTCAACATGTTCATGCTGACATGTCATGATCAAATCCAAGCTTCTGCACCAACCCAAAATTATGGTTGGCTAAAGGGCAGGCTACTGTACTGAAATACTTGTAGCTCTCTCATTTGTCGGAGAGCTCCTTGTCCAGCCTTCTTGCCCTTGCGCTCTGAAGTGACGAAACCAGGATCGTAGTGCAACTTCCAGATGAAGTTCCTCAGGAACTGCAACATGCTCTGTCTTGCACAGCTCGGCTTCTTCGTCAAAGCGTCGGAAAGGTTCCAATCGCCGCTGAGCCAAATGAGTTTGGCACCACTGTCCTTCAGCTGTTCACGAAGCTGAAAGGCTTGGAGAGCTGACCTAAAGTTTGAGAGTCCAAGCAAAGGACCTTCTGACTTGGTGATCGCGTCAAATCCGCCCTTGGAGTCTGTGCCGATCAAGCCATGCACATACTTCATGATGTTGTTGGCACTGTCCAGGAGCTCTTTGCCTATGGGGCAACCATTGATCTGAGCCCACATGTAGCGAGCTCTGTAGTTGGCGCTTTCGCCTTCCACCATGCTTTGAACTTCGCCATCATTTGTGGAGATGGCTTTGCGTCTCAAACGCCACGTCTTCCAGCTGACTACTGAGAGACGTCCGGCTTCACCTCGTAAATGCTCATCGCCGCCAACCAGTGTAAGACGCCGGGTCGATTCGCGTGAGCCTGATCGGCCAAAGTGATAATCGTGCAATCTTGCCAATGTCGAACATGTGGCAACTGCCAAAACTTGAGGATGACCGGGTTGGCACGGACTTCCTTGATGAGGTCCTGGATTTCTTTTGCAGTGGACAAGTCGCTCTTGTCGTTGAGCTGGGAGAGCAAAAGGTTTGTGCGTGCGCAGGCTTGAAGTTGTGTTTGCGTTGCGACCCACTGGAGAGCACCAAGTCCAGCTCGACAAGCACTGAACTCATCAGGAGTCAAAGGAGTGGTGTCCGCTTTCTGTAGGCGATGAGAATCGATACTGAGATCCGGGATGCCTTCGGCGTAGTAGTTCTGGTCCACCTCAATGAAGTGTTCATTGCCAACGTCCTTGACGGTGATGTCCAGGCCAGTGTAGCGAAACCGATTGACTTTCGTACTTCCCCACTTGTAGGCTCGGTCGATCTCACCACGGATCTTCAGCCAGCGAGGATCAGATAGATCACCTGATCGTTGAAAGTCATCAACGTGGCCGCCTATGTATCCCAGGAGAATCTCCACATCGCATTCATTGCGCGGCTTGGGGTTCGGAGCTGTGAAGATCCAGAAGGAGGCGTCACCGATGAGTCGTCGAGCACCAAGAGCCTTCAAGGTCTTGTCCACATCTTCCCAAAGACCTCTAGGGGCAGTCGCATTGCCGTAGACATTTTTCAGAATGCGAAGGACTTCTTGGGGAGATGCGCCGAGGGCTTCGTTGAGCTCCTCAACGCCATGCATCCATATGCGTCGAGACTCTTCAGTTTTGCCCGTTTGTAAAAAAGCCGTGGACATGTCCAAAGATTCCAACTGCCAACCTCGTTGAGCTGCGACGCAAAAGGAGAGGTTGCGGGTCAGTTGGCATTGCACTGGAGCCGTGGTAGATAATGATGGAGACAGCAAATCGGGGTGTTGATATCCCAGCACCACGATACGGGCCTTGGCTTTCTTGGTGCCGCTCTTGTTGTAGGTGGTGTTGGAGTTGCTGTGGTGGTCCTTGATGGCTTCTTCGCGAGATTCTTCAGGAACTCCTTTCCACACCAGTACCCAACGAGATTTGAGGACGCGTCCAGAACGACGGGCTTCTTGTTCCTCTTCCCAACTGAGACATCTGCGAACTGCTTCCGTACGAAGGAAGCTTGAAACCTCGGAGTTCTTGGCGTTCTTGAAGAGCTTGCGGTCCTCATCACTGAGCTTGCGAAATTGAACTTCAGCACCACTCATCTTCTTGGCCAGGTAGAGGTGAGGTGATTCGAGAAACTTCTTCCTCTGACGATTGCTGTCCAAGATGATCTCGATGTTCATGAAGTAGCCAGCGTCGACTTCTTCCATGATCTGCTGATGCTTCATCTCGAGGTAATCGTCGAGATCGTCATCATCGTTGTCGTAGCGTGTCCGCTTGGTGTCGGGCTCGACATTGTCGTTCTCGTCATTGTCATTCAAGGGGGTTGTGGAAGTTATCGATGACCTCCGTGATGGCAACCTGATAGGTGTAGAGACATCATTGCCCAATTCATCGACAGGTTCACCAGAAGGTAGTTCAACGTTCATGCCCGGTGCAGAAGCTGATGATCGTTCATTTGAGGACGAAGAGGGCTTGTCGTAGTCGTTTACAGAAGCTGTAGGTCGTCCCTTCTCATCGACAGGACTCTTCTCCTTGAATCGAACTATTGGTCGACGTACTGCTGAGAAACGAGGTGGTTGTTCAGGTAGATGAGGTTCCTCATGTTCTGATTCTTGAGGTTCTTCGTGTTCGATGTCGACAAACTCTCGCCTTGGCAGCATGTCAGAAAGTTGTCGCCATAGGACTTGTTCCTGATTGGTGGCTTCATGGACGGCATGTTCTCGCTCGGACAGAGGCCTCACAGAGTGGACACTGCATCGAAAGAGTTGAGATCCCACCGTGACCCAGACTATGCTCTTGCGATCTTCGTCACGATGACCAGGAACAAGTTCATGCAGCACGACCCTACCGGGTCCGATCCACCGTGCCTTGACTGTCCTTTTCACACCACCACGCTTGCCCGTGTGGAACTCCAGGGGCAGGAACTTCCGCCAGACCATCACCAACTCGGCGGGACCATATGTCCGTAGGGGTTGTCTGACGCTCGTGTTGTGAAGCTTGCTCAAGACAGTCTGAGCACGAGCCTTGCGAGCGCATTCTTCCGCTAGCTGTCTCTGATTCATCAGCTTGAGGAAGGTGTCCTGTTGACGATCAACGGGTAGCGCAAGTTGTTGACGAAGTTCCTCATCAGTGATCTCTGCTTGGCGTCCAAAAGTCCATTGGAGACTACTGAAGCCCTTGACATACTCGGTGGAGTTCACTGCTGCGGTAGCCAAAGCTAAAGTGAGCGCTGGTGGTTGATCAGGCATGGAAATATGGATGGCATTTGCAGTTTCCTTGACTTGTTGGATTCCGCGTTCGACAAGTCCATGTGCCCAGGATTCATGGGCAGGAGGAAAACCAACGGCAATGCCCAGGTCGCCCATGTACTCCTCGAAGCGCTTGGCCGTGAGGGACTTGGCGTTGTCCGGGATGACCCACTTCGGACGTGGTTTGTCGAGTAGCCACCGAAGAGTGACAACCTTGACCATGTCGTCAGCATTCTCAACCTTGATTTCGCCGTGCTTCGTCTCGAAGAGGACTTCCGTGACTTTGTAGCGGGTGGCCATGTCCATCAGAAGCACGAACTTGATCTTGAGGTTGACGCCGGGAACTTCCCACTCAGCAACGTCGATACCCAGGTGCTCCCACGGTTCTGGTAGTTCGTGAACGCTTGCAGGGCTGATCTGCTTGGAGCTGATGCCACCCGGTTTGACTTCTTCACATACCGGACATTTGTAGGAGAGACATTCCTGGATTTTCCAGCGAGGAAGTTGTGCATCTGCAAGCATTCTTGCCATATTCCTTGACGTAGGATGCCCTGCAGCTCGATGGAAACGCACAAGTTGAACTTTCCATCGTTCTCGATCTTCATCAGAAGGATGCCCAGGAGGTACGGATCCTTCTGCTTGAGGTTCTCCAGGATCGCCGTCTTCAGGTACTTCTAGTTCGTCACCTTCAAGAATGGGTGCATCGGCATCACCGACATAGATCTCCTTGAAGGTGTCCTTGATGATGGGAGCCGTCCAGAGGTAGTTCAGCCAACGTTCGGGAATCAACTGCTTCCGCCACGATCGAGCGATTGCCTTGCACATGGCGACAGGGTAATAGGCACTCTTGCTGGTTTCGATTCCCTGAACGTGATCGTGCTCGTGGTTCTTGAGGCATACCTGAAGTCTGAATTGGTTGTAGTAGATCTGGTCAGTCGTGAGGATGAGCCAGCTCTTCTGCAGATGATGTCCTTGCGAGGATTTGAGACCATACCTACAGCCATCCAGCTTGCAGAAGTAGACTTCTCGTCCAAGGAGTTCACGAAGGTGTTCTTGGAAGGCGAGCATATGGGGCTCCTTCCAGGCTCGGCATCGACGTGGCCACTCCCAATAGAGCTCGGTCTCCGGGTGCTTTTGCAGGTTCGTCAGGAGGAAACTCATGAGCTTCTGATGCATAGCCTTTTCTCTCCTTCGTTTGCGAAGAAGTTCCTCCCAACGGTCCTTGTAATTGAGCTCGGACCAATCACAGTAGTGAGTGCATGGAGTGCTAACCCAGCACTTCTTGGGTAGTTGTGCTTGCCATAGACGTTGGAGATCTGTGTAGGTCTTCTCCTTGTAGAGGTCGAATCCGTTGGCCAGGTTGATGCGATGACCTTGTAGCCCTTCGCGATTAACTTGTTCCGTCAGCTG